AACATCATCAGTGCTAGTAAGGGGTCAGCAAACCCCACTCCTTTCTAGCACTGAGGATGTTAGCTAGTTGGGTAATGAAAGGTCTGCAAGAAAACAAGCAAGCTCAGAGAGCACCAAGGACCCCACAGTCCTCCTCCTCCTTCTAACAGCAAACCTTGCTCCCTTCTAGCACTGATGATGTAACCTAGTTGGGTAATGAAAGGTCTGCTAGAAAACAAGCAAGCTCAGAGAGCACCAAGGTGCCCACAATCTTCCTCCTTCTCCTCCCCCTCCCCCCTCCTCCTTCTCCTCTCAACAAACCTTACTCCCTTCCAGCATTGATGATGTAACCTAGTTGGGTAATAAAAGGTCTGCAAGAAAACAAGCCAGCCCAGAGAGCATCAAGGACACCACAGTTGTCGTCGTCCTCCTCCTCCTCTTCCTCCTCCTCCTCCTCCTCCTCCTCCCAGCAAACCCCACTCCCTTCCAGCACTGATGATCTTACCCAGTTTGGGTCATGAAACGTCTGCAAGAAAACAAGCAAGCTCAGAGAGCACCCAGGACCCCCCTCACACAGGTAATCCTCGACTTACAACAGTTCATTTAGTGACCATTCAAAGTTACAACAGCCCTGAAAAAAGTAACTTACGAGCGTTTGTCACCCTTAAGACCGTTGCAGCCTCCCCGTGGTCACGTGATCAAAATTCAGGGGTTTGGCAACGGACTCACATTTACGACGGTTGCAGCATCCCAGGGGTCATGCGATCACTTTTGCGACCGTCTTACAAAGTCAAAGAAGGAATCCGGGTTCACTTAACAACGGTGTTGTTACTCAGTTAATAACCGCGGCAAGGAAAGTCGTAAAACGGGGCAAAATTCACTCGACCAACAAGAGAAATTTGGGACTCAATTGTGGTGGTATGTCGAGGGTTACCTGTACAGAACTGACCCTTTTAAAGGAAGATCCAAATGATCCAGATATCCAAGACGGGAATTAGGAGGGACAAAATCCTTCTCATTACTGGGGAGTCAAGCTCTGTCTTCATGTAACATATACATTGGGTCAGACCTGCCCCAACCTCTAATTTTGTAAGAGACTGAAGACCTGGGTCTGCCAATTGGCCTGGAGACCCAATGGGAGAGTTTGACTCTGGAGGTAGGTGCTAGATTGACAGCAGACTCCACCTTCCCCCTCCCAACTCACCCAGCTTTTTTAATAGCCATAATCCACGTATTTTCTGTTTTCGTTTTCCTCGTTTATTTTATTCTTCTATTATTTTACTTTCGCTTTGTTCCAACGTGTTTTTGATTCTTCTTTTTTTATGGTGGTGAGCCACCTAGGGTAGTCCAATAATCAGAGAGATGGCAAATAAATATAAGAACTCGATAGGCAGGCAATGATCCCAAATGCGGTCTGAACATCTGGCTGACTATGCGACGAACCGTAATAATAAAACCTCTAACATCCTCAAACATCAACCTCTTCCCATTCCGGGTCCTTGGAGAGGACTTGATAGGTGGACAAAAATGTCAAATCAAGTCTGCAACCTGGCTAATCGTGCAATGAATAATAATAATAGAATAGAGCTGGAAGAGACCTTATAGGTCTTCTAGTCCAGACCCCTGCTCAAGCAGGAGAACCTATACCAGGGGTAGGCAACCTTGGCTCTTTTATGACTCGTGGACTTCAACTCCCAGAATTCCTGTGCCAGCATGGCTCAGCTTGGAAACTCTCCCTTTCCCCTCAGCATGGCTGGCTCAGGAATTCTGGGAGTTGAAGTCCACGAGTCATAAAAGAGCCAAGGTTGCCTATCCCTGACCTATACCATTTCAGACTAGTTGACTGTCTAGTCTCTTCTTAAAAATCTCCAGTGATGGGAGCTCCCACAATTTCTGAAGGCAAAGCTGTTCAACAACAATAACAACAACAACAACAACAACAACAATAATAATAATAATAATAATAATAATGAGGAGGAGGAGGAGTCTGGTTCATTGATATTGCAATACCAATTGACCCGCAAATTAGGAGAAACAGCTAGAAAAAATAACCAAGTATTGCGATCTGCAAATTGAAGTTGAGAGATTGTGGAGGAAAAAATCAGTGGTTGTACCAATAATAATAGGAGCCCTCGGAGCAAAACCCAAAGGACTGTCTAGAATACACGGAAATTTTGAACTTAATGATAGACCTGACTATTCTGACTTTGCAAAAAAAAAAAAAAAAACCACCTTACTCGGAACTGCATATATACTCAGATGTTACCTTAACAGCTCTTACATCCTTGGTTAGGACTTGAACTGTTAAGTTTTTACCAGTCCCAGACTGTGAATCGAATTGAAGATTAACCATAATAACAATAACAACAACAACCGGGTCCTTGGTAAAGACTGGATAGACAAGATTGTGAAACCCAGTCTGAACATCAATAATATACATATATATACATATATACATATATGTGTGTGTGCGTGTGCATGTGTGTGTGTATATATATATATACACACACACATACACGCATGTATGGATAGGTAGACAAGATTGTGAAACCCAGTCTGAACATCTGGCTGACTGTGCGAAGATCAATAATATACATATATATACATACCGGTATATACATGTGTGTGTGTGTGTATATATATTAAAGGTTTTTAATATTCTTAAGAACTTTTATCTTTAAATTATTATTATTAAATTATTTATTCCCTGGTGCTCACGTCTATTGACTGACTTTGAACATATATATATACATATATATACACACACATATATACATGTGTATATATATATACATACATACACACACACATGTGTATGTGTATACACATGTATATATGTGTATGTGTGTGTATATATATATACACACACATATATACATGTGTGTATATATACATACATACACACACACGTGTATATATATACACATATACAGTGTGTATATATGTACATATATACACATGCATACACACACACACACATCTGAATATATATATTCAGATACACACATAGACCTAATAGCTACCTAACAGCTCTTAGGTCCTTGTTTAGGACTTGAACTATTACATTTTTACCAATCCCAGACTGTGAATCGAACTGAAGATTAAATAACAACAACAATACCAGCTCCTTGGGAAGGATTTGAGAGGCAGACAAAACTGCCAAACCCAGTCTGAATACCTGGCTGACTTTGCGACGAATATTAATAATAATAATAATAATAGTAATAGTAATAATAGTAATAATAATAACAACAATAACAACATACTGCGTCCCCTCCCCCCTCCCGCAGCTGAACTGAGCGAGGAGCATCCGAAGGCGGCCAAAACCAGCCAGGGCCAAAATCGGGGTGCAAACTGCGAACCCCAAAGAGAAGGGGGAGGGGAGGGGGAAGCAGCCCCTCCCCCAGGAGGGAAGGAAGGAAGGGGGGCGGCAACCCCAAGCCCCGCTCGCTCTGGGCCCCCCACCCTAGCCCCCCCTCCACCCTCCCCCCAGCCCCCCGCGGGGCCCCTCCCCCCCCCGCCACCGCCGCCGCCTCACCCACCGGAAGCGCCCCCCGCAGTGCTGGCACTGGTCGCCCACCCAGCCGGGCTGGCACTCGCACTGGCCGGTGCTGGGCTGGCAGCGTCCTCCGTTGGCGCAGGGCTTCTCGCACGCCTTGCCTTCCGCCGAGGCCGACTCCGCGCCCCGCGCCGCCAGCAGCGGCACCCCCAGCAGCAGCAGGAGCAGCAGCCGCCGCCGCCGCCACGGCGAGGAAGGCAGCCCCTCCGGCAGGCCGGCCGCCGCCCCCCGCCGCCGCCGCCGGTCCCGCCGCTCCATGGCTCGGCACCGGGAGCCCCGAGGGCGGGGAGACCCCGACGGGGAGGCCGAGGGTCGCTCTTCGCTCGACGACGACCGCGACGACGACCCGCTTTTCCCCCTCACGGCTGCCCCGCCGCCTCACTCGCCGGACGCTCCGGAGGAAGAAGCGGCCCGCAGCCGCCGAGCCGCCATCACGCACGCGCGCGCGCGTCCCCTCCCGATGACGTCACCCGGCCCTGGACGAGCGCCTGAGGGAGCGGACGAGCGAGCATCGTCGCGTCGGCGGGAGGGCTAGAGCGGCGCCGGCCGCTCTGACCGCCCCAGAAGGCCATGGAGAGGAAGGAAGAAAGGAAGGACGGTCGGTCGGTCGGTCTCCCGGCAACGGCCTAAGCTGGGAGAAGGGGGCGTGTCGCCATGCGTCCCTCTGGCTTCGCCCCGAGCAGGCGGAAATCCAACTGGTCAAGTCAGGAGGTTTAAGGATTCAATGAATACAAACAGAACAAAACAGAATTATAGGAATACAGAATAGAATAGAATAGAATAGAATAGAATAGAATAGAAATAAGAAATAAGAAATAAGAAATAAGAAATAAGAAATAAGAAAAGAATAGAATAGAATAGAATAGAATAAAGAAATAAGAAAAGAATAGAATAGAGTAGAATAGAATAGAAATAAGAGTGGAATAGAATAGAATTAGAATTAATAGAATAGAATAAATAGAATAGAAATAGAATTAATAGAATAAGAATAGTATAAAATAGAATAGAATAGAATTATAGAATAGGAATCTGGAATAGAATAGAACAGAATAGAATAGAAAACAGAATAGGAATAGAACAGAATGGAATGGAATTATAGAATAGAATTAGAATTAATAGAATAGAATAGAAATAGAATTAATAGAATAAGAATAGTATAGAAGAGAAGAGAAGAGAATTATAGAATAGGAATCTAGAATAGAATAGAACAGAATAGAATAGAAAACAGAACAGAATAGGAATAGAACAGAACGGAATTGAATGGAATTATAGAATAGAATAGAATAGAATAGAATAATGATAATAAAATAGAATAGAATAGAATAGAATACCATTTCAGACAAGTGACTGTCTAGTCTTATGACTACAATTGAGCTGAATATTTATGTTGCTAAATGAAACATTTGTTAAGTGAGTTTTGCCCCGTTGCTACAGTGGTTATGTGAATTAGTGCAGTTGTTAAATTAGTCACATGGTTGTGAAGTGAATCTGGCTTCCCTATTGACTTTGCTTGTCAGAAGGTCACAAAAGGGGATCGTGGCACATTGCAGCCGTCATAAACACGAACTAGTTGCCAGGCAACTGAATTTTGATCACGAGGGGATGCTGCAAAGGTGGTAATTGAAAAAATGTCCTAAGTCACGTTGTTCAGTGCCGTTGTAACTTTGAACGGTCACTAAATGAACTATTGTAAGTCGAGGACTGCCTGTACTAACGACTCAGTTCCAATCCTACAGTCACAGGACCGAACGCCAGGCTCTCAGCAACAGGGCTGCATTTATAACCGTTTGGAGCAAGCGCCCCGTGGTCCTGGAACCATGTTTTATGACACATTTTGTCCAAAACCAACACTACTTGTTTTCGGCAAAATAGGCTCCATGGAGAACCATGGATTTATTGTAACAACTGTGTCATTCGCTTAACTGTCACAAAAACGGTTGTAAAATTAGGAAGAGTTACAATGTCGAGGATGGCTTGTACCAAATGAATTACTGTCCTGGAACTTTATTATTATAATAAGAGGATAAGCTGTAGCGAATCAAGGCAGGGCATTGTGAATCTTTTCCTGGCCCTTTCCTGTCTAGATGGCCTAAATTGGTGTTTACACAACTTTAATTATAATTTTTTTTTTTCTTCAAGGCAATCTCCTTCCTGCTCCAGAGCATTGAGCCGTGTCAAATCGCAGATGAGTGAAACATCAATCTTATGCACTGGATACAAACCTGTGAGTTATGAGATCCAGGGCTCATAGAGGAAGAAAATGACGTAAAATGAGTTTATGCAAAAAGTTGTGACAGTCAGATAAAAAAGGTAGAAGCAAGAGCACTTAGACTTTTTAAAAAAAAAAAAGTTTTATTGATTTTCTAATTTTACATTTCAATATTTAAAATCAATGTGGCGGCTGAGTTAACCGATAATTCAATAACATACAAGTATCTTTAGTTCAAGTCTCAAACTACCACATTAAATATTTCCTCTCTTTTCCCCTTAGTATTTACTGTCTCCTGTTTAAACTAATACAATTCTTATTATATCAATTAGATAAAAATAACAGTCTTACATTTATCAATAATTTTTAGCTTATACATATCCTGGTTATTTAAACATTCAGTCTTTGTAGACAATCAATGTCCTAATTAGTTTTTCCCAATTTTTAGTTTCCCATTAATATTTAAATTTAACATTTAATATTTATAATTTCCAAGTTTTAAATAACCAAAGTTCCCTTTATCACAGTTCATCACAAAATCTAATGTTCAGGATACACATCTTATCTATTTGAATATATTCTATTTCTCACCATCTTATATCGACTAATTAATGATACAGTATAACAGTGGTGGCGAACCTATGGCACGGGTGCCAGAGGCGGCACTCAGAGCCCTCTCTGTGGGCACACGCGCCGTCGCCCCAGTCCTGGGCCTTCAGCTGGGTTTTATAAAACCTTTTCGCTTTAGGCCTCTGCTGCCGTGTGCAAAAAAAAAAAAAAAAGTGCAATCAATCAGTCAATTTCAACTTCTCGCGGGAAAAAAAAGATCTTGCAAAGTTGGAATTGATTGATTGAACTTTTTAGTCCCACCCAGTCTGCTGTTACCACAGCAGCCACGCCACACCAATGGGCCACACCTGCCCGGCACTCGACGATGCATAAGTGGGTTTTGGGTTGCAGTTTGGGCACTCGGTCTCTCAAAGGTTCGCCATCACTGTTCTAGGTTGCTTCATCTCCTTGGTGAGCTTTCATCTAGGTTTGTGCTTCCCAACCTTGGCAACCTTTGAGATGGGTGGACATCAGCTGATTCTATTTCCCCACGGCTGGAGGAAGCCACATTTGCTTAATGACCGCGGGCTTCGCTTAAGAACAGCGGCGATTTGCTTAACCAATTGTGGCAAATAGGTTGTTCCTATGGAGCACTTAACCATCACCTGGTTTAGCAACAAAAACACGACTCCCGGTTGTCCTCGTAAGTCCAGGATTACCTGTTTGACGTGAAACCTGGTCCTCAGATTAGTAACGGCCGAGGAGAGCAGAAACGGCTGCAAACAGGTTTGAGAAATGTAGCCACACGGAATAAATAGCTTAGTTTAGTTGGTAGCTCACCGTAGGGGGTGCCATTTGTCTCTATCTGCCAAGGGAACGAAAGCCATTTAAGGCCATCAATTCCAGCCCCCTGTTGGGTGCCAGAATCCAATTAAAGGATCCCTGACAGACGCCCTTCGTCTCCAGTTGAACATACTCGGGGAGGGGGGGATGCTCAGCGTTGTTGTGGGTTGCTGGTTCCCCCCAGAAAAAGCTCTTCCAGACCACGAATGACATTGAAAATGCATGTGCTGCCATCTTAATTCCTTCCCCCCGCCCTTGTCATAACTGAGCATGTGAACTAGGTCCCATGCTTCGGTGGTACAGACTTGGGGTAATATACATTTCCAGTTTGAATTACAGGTGTCCTTGTTTAGTGACCACAATTGGGATGAGCAATTTGGTCGTTAAGCTAATTGTTGCTAAATGAAACCATGAATAGAATAGAATAGAATAGAATAGAATAGAATAGAATAGAATAGAATAGAATAGAATAGAATAGAATAGAATAGGAAAATAATAGAATAGAATAGAATAGAATAGAATAGAATAGAATAGAATAGAATAGAATAGGATTATAGAATAGGAAAATAGAATAGAAAAGGATTATAGAATAGGAAAATTAGAATAGAATAGAATAGAATAGAAAATAGGAAAGAATAAGAATAAGAATAGAATAAGAATAGAATAGAATAGGATTATAGAATAGAATAGAATAGGATTATAGAATAGGAAAATAGAATAGAACAGTGATGGCGAACCTTTTAGAGACCGAGTGCCCAAACTGCAACCCAAAACCCATTTATGCATTGTCGGGTGCCGGGTAGGTATGGCCCATTGGCTGAGTGTGGCCAATGGGGTGGGCGTGGCCCATTGGCTGGGCATGGCTACGGTGGTAACGGCAGATTGGGTGGGACTAAAAAGTTCAATCAATCAATTCTAACTTTGCAAGATCTTTTTTTTCCCCGCGAGAAGTTGAAATTGACTGATTGAACCTTTTTTTTTTTTGTACACGGCGTCAGAGGCCTAAAGCGAAAAGGTTTTATAAAACCCAGCTGAAGGCCTAGGACTGGGGCGACGTCGCGCGTGCCCACAGAGAGGGCTCTGCGTGCCGCCTCTGGCACCCATGCCATAGGTTCGCCACCACTGCTCTATTCTATTCTATTCTATTCTATTTTCCATTCCATTCCATTCTTTTTCCCAGGAAAGCTTGCAACGTGTCGTCTTTCCGAAGAGAAGCTTGTGCATCTTTCTAGCTCATCCCTGGCATTCTGGGGCTGGCAGAATTCCTGGGTGCCAGCCGCCACTGTTGCCCAGAGCACAACCCACAACACCCTCAGCTCCATGTCTGCAAGCATCCTTGATCAAATCAGATCAAAACTGGTGTCTGCATTTGCATGCGATGCTCAGCCTGGGACTCCCCATCCACAGGCTTCACAGTCCAGTTATTGTGCAGGGTGCAAAGCAAGACAATGGCTGAATTGTCAGTTTAAGGGTGAGCAGCTGAGTGGATCACTCAGAAAGGTTTGTAGAGAGCTGCACGTTTAAGGCACAATCACATCTCAAATGGGGGGGGGGGGTTCATAGATCAAGAGGTGATAGATAACAGCCTGTCCCCACTTTGATCTCTGCGGCTGCATTTAACTGAACCGGGCTGCCAAAAAAGCCATCGCAATCGTAGGCTGCATTAACAGAGGGATAGAATCGAGATCACGTGAAGTGTTAATAGCTCTTTATAATAAGATCAAACGTGGAATACGGCATCCAGTTTTGATCGCCACGATATAAAAAAGATGTTGAGACTCTAGAAAGAGTGTAGAGAAGAGCCACAAGGGTGATTACGGGCCTGTAAGGTAAA